ATTAAGTATTGTTGTTTACCACAATTGTGTTTGGGGGACCAAATCTGTATACTACAAACTTTCATACAAAGTCTTCAACAGTCTTTACCATGATAGTGGCTACTAATTCTACTTTTACCTACTTAGTGAAATAATCACAAGCCATAATCATAATTTTTTTTCTTAGCAATAGCAATAGGAAAAGGACTAAGGATATCGATCTTATTGTGTAAAAGGTTCGAGATTGAAAATCTGATTAATTGCCTTTATTGGTTGTTGATGGACTTTAGCCAACCTTTTACATTCATCTCACTTTTTCACCATATCCACTGTGTCATTTTTCATAATCTATGAATAATATGCATATTTTAATGCCTTTAGTGCCAATGCACACCTACCCATGTCGTGGGCACATACTCCCTTATGGTTTTCCTTAACACATAATCTACCTTAGTGGATGCCAAGCATTTAAGTAATGGACAGGAGAATGTTTTCTTATAGATAGTGTCTTTAAGAAGCATAAGCTTTGTTGCCCTCTTTTAGAGTTACCTGGCAGCAGCTAGTTTAGAGGGAGTGCCTTTGAGAATGCCTTTGCCTTTGAGGATGGCGATGAGAAGGGTCATCCAATTTTGATCTTCGTCTAACCATAATATTGAAACGGGTTATAAGTAGTGGGGTATCTATACATACTTTAATAATATATTCCCTTGCTCCTTAATTTCAATAAAGGCTACCAATTTTGAAAAAAAGTGCTCTAGCATTATTGTTGCAAGGGACCTATTTTAAGGAGATGGTCTCAAAAGATTACTTTAATTAGCGAACAATTGTCTGATATTTGGCTAATGTTGGGTCATATGCTTCATACTCACCATTCATTTGGAAGGCAAGTAATTGTTAGTCAGTGTAGACTGTCAAGTGCTTCACATTTAAACTAGTTGCTAATTCTAGTCCAGTGATCAACGATTCATTCTTAATAGCATTGTTGGACACCAAGAACCCAAAAGATAGTCCGTACTACCATTCCTGTCCATGGGGGTTGGTAAGTAAAATCATTGCCCTTAATACGTTTTTGCCAAAAGAGCCATCAACATATAATATCCAAATGCTCTTTGGCAATGGTCTTATTATTTGTGGTGGGCACTAAATCAATTAAAGGGCAGGTTTTGGGTTTTGAGGGGCTCAGACTACTACTTTTCATCCTACTTCTTCTATTTTGTCAATTGTGACTCGTTTGAGTAAATTACCGAAGTTGTGACTTTCGAGTAAATGAGCATTCAGTAATAAAATCCTTCAAGGCCTGCGCTTTGGTGCTACTTCCTCATCCAACTTAATCATATTAGTACTCACTTTTCTAATATTACTAAACTTACATTTCATATATTCAATTTTAGATATACTCAATTTAAAGCTTTGAGGCTCTAGTGTATACTTCCAAAATTCTAATTTTACATTAAAATCATCACTAGTTTCAACAACTAAGACTATATCATTGGCAAATATCATTCACCATGATACTTTATCTTCGATATGTCCAATGAGCTCATCCATAACTAATGCAAAAAGAAATGGATTTAATGTCAAGCCTTGATGCAATTATAAAGTAATGGGAAAACAATCAGTCATGCCCCAAACGTCCTTACATTCGTTACAACTATAGTGATCAGAATCAGAGAATCAGATCAAATATTAAACTGTTCACATTTTTCGATCATCGGGTTAATGGATCAACTACCAAATTAATCGGGTCAATTGTCAGTTCAATAAAAAATATTATAAAATATAAATATTTTAAAAATTCAAAATTGAAATTTTAACTCAAGTTATAGCTTTATAAATCAACCATAAAACTATAAATTTTAAGGTATATTATAAACTACGAATTTTATAATATAAAATTTATAAAATAATTAATTACTAGTTAAAAATGAAACTACTTAACATTTTATTAAAATCATATTTTATATTTTAATAGTTAGAAATAATATTTATATTTTAATAAATATAATAATTAATAATTAATAAATCATTTTAAATTATTGTTATTATTTTAATTTATTAAAATATAAATATTATTTATTAATGTATAATAATTAACCTTTATGTAATATAAAAGAAATATCTATATATAAAATTAATAAAAAGGAAATATTTATATTTATATTTATATGAAAATTAAAATCACTTTTATATTTTTTTATATGAATGTAGATTTTTTTTATTAACTTTACATATATACATTTTCTTTTATTAATTATTTTCGATCATAGTCAAATAATTAATCTTTTTTTATTAATTTTTTATTAATTTGACATATTATTAATTTTATAATTATTTTTAATTATGGTATCAATTAATAAATTTTTTTGTTAGATCATCTTTTTTAAATTGCTTATTTTTAGACGTGTAAATTTTTTTACAATGCCATTAACTACATGTCTCAAAATATGTCAACATATCATTAATATAAGGATACAAAAGTTTTGATAATAGAAAATAAAAGTTGAGGGGCTTATTTAGATAAAATAGTAGTATAAGGGCTTAATTAGATTATTTTAAATATTTGAAGGATTTTTTTTTTATATTTTATCTAAACTTATTAGTTAGTATTGAACCAATCTAATTAAAAAAAAATCGTTTAATTTACTGGTTTATTATATAAATCATTAATTAATAACGGTTTAAAAGCGATTTACTTGTAAAACTAGTTTAATTACAAAACTAAACTAGTTCAACATGATTCACCAATTCAACTGATCAGACCTGCGACCCGATTTAATTCTAATAACTATGGTTATAACTCTTTCGTACGCATATTAAACCATGTTAATATACTCTAAAAGAATTCCTTTCTTCATTAAGATTCACAGGGAAATTCTATCATAAACTTTTTCTAAATCTATAAATATCATATGTAGAATATTGATGGTAAAAAGAGTGGGAAAAAAAAAATCAAAAGTTCAAATATGGTGGTAAAAGTGGGTAATTTCGGAGTTGATTGCTCTGAAATTTCTTATTCAATCATCAACTAATAACGACTAATTAAGACGTAATTTTACCTAATTTTGTTTTTTATCATATACAGTAAAATAACCAAAGAAAGATAAAAATGGATAAAATAGTAACAATATATTTAATTTAACACTTGTAGGTTCATTACAAAATGGATGGCAAAAAGAAATACGAGTGTAAAATAAATAACACGTAGAAATATATGTTAATCAAACTTCTAAAAATTATGGATTTAAGTGAATTTATACGCATAATGTCATTTTCAAATAAATTAAATAAATAAAAGTTGAGGGATTAACTCAATATCTCATTGCACTAATAAGTCTTTCTAGTTTTTTTTTTTTTTTTAATTTATAGTATCGTTTAAATAAATTGACCTTTTTAATAAAATATTTACAATATGAAAAACAAAGAAGGTGGAATCCTTTAATAATCTTACCCTATTAGAAAATATCAATTACTATAATCTACTAATACGATAATATGTTCTTAGATGATATTGTTGTTATGATGATTGTAATTTTTATAAAAAAATTATTTATGTATTAGTATTTGAATTAAAATCAAAATTTTAGTTTGGACACGAGATTATCATGCTTAGTCGAATACATGATGCGTTTAAAAATAATCAATTAAAATATTAAGATTATGTTTGATATATAAAATTAGTTGAAAGATAGGATACTAATCATCCTATCACATGCTTATTATGCACTTAAATAAAAGGATTGAATTATTGGAAAGATTAGATATCATATGTCGATAGGATAACTCTATCTTTTGGAAAAGTAAGGAATTATTTTTAATTCATAGGATTAAACTTATATATCTTTTTATACCTTAAAAATTATATTAATAATTTAAATTGTATAAACTTTGAGAAAATATAATTTTGATCAATAAATAAATTATCCTATTTTAATCTTTGCACACATCAAATATAAGATAGAATAATTTTATTTAATCTGATTATGTTCATAATATTATCTTATCCTATCTTATCATAATTTTGTGTATCAAATATAACTTAAATGTGTTACAATTTTATTACCCCATTTGATTAACAATATTGGTTTTAAATGCAAATTGATAGAAAAAATCAAATTCAACTATTTAATTATAAATTTTTTAAAATTTAAATATATAATAAAATTTTAATTATAATTCAAATATTAATTACATAATTAATCCTTTTAAAAAAACCAAAGCCAAAAAAAAAAAAAAAAACAAAGGTGGAAAAAGACGTCAAAAACACAATTAACCCTAAAATCAATAATTTAAAGCCCAAAACTTAACCCCAAAAATTAAATGTTAAAAGACAAAATAAACCGCAATCAAATTATTCATGACATCAATTAACCCCAAATTATTTTTTATGCCTTGTATTACTTGGCATATATAGTTATTATGCATCAATTTAATAAGAATGGATCGAAGATAACTTTTATATATTGGTATTTGATTAACAATATTGGTTTTAAATGTAAATTAATGGAGAAAATCAAATTCAAATATTTAATTATTGATTTTTAAAATTTAAATATTTAATAAAAAATTTAATTATAATCTATATATTAAATACATAATCTTTTTTAAAAAATCAAAAAGAGAAAAGCAAAGAGAGAAAGAGATGTTAACAGTTACAATTAACCCTAAAATTAGTAGTTAAAAGCCTAAAACAACTTCAAAATCAATCAATCTCAATTAACCCAAAAAATTACATATTAAAAGGCAAAACCAACCTCCAAACAAATTATTCATGAAATCAATTAACCTCCAAATAATTTTTTTTATGCCTCATATTACTTGGCATCGGTACTAATGCATGAATTTAGTAAGAATGTGTTGGGGATAATTTTGTAGATTGGTATTGATATGCTGTAAAAGCGATAGACAGGGAGCTTAATGAAACCTTTCATAACCAAACATATAATGTAGCTTTATGGAATTCCCGCTTATATAGCAACCAAAAGAAGAGTAAAAAAACACAATCAAGAAACAAAAGGCAAAGATATATGAACGACAAAAGGATTTATATACAATGTCGAATCTCTACTTAAATGACTCGATCAATTACCAGCTTGATTTTGTACAGATTTATCTTCATAAAAGCCGCTCATTGAAACGTGACCAATACAAGGAAAACAATTTCCTTCTCGACTTGAGACTCTTACTTACAAAACAAAAACAATACAAGTTTAACGGCTATCTACCCCATGCCATATCTTCTCATATGGTTTTTAAACATAACACTACACCTAAACAACGACTCTGTCCTTATTTTTGTTGAACAAACTGATCTACTCAGAAGACACCATCATTTCATTACATGCAAAGAACCTTTCAAACATATTCACACTAAGAAAGGATTCTCTTAATTTTTTCTTCAGTCATTGACGACTTCAAAATTCTTCTGTTTTAAACTGAATTTTTAAAGCTCTTTTACTGTTATCTATGTACTCTTTGTGGACTGAAATGGGTTCTAGGCCAGCGCAGGGATGCTGCAATTTCGCCTATCCCTGTCAAGGCAATCAAACCCCTCGACTCTCACGGCTGGCTTGTTACCAAAATTCGCCCGAACACAGCCTCCTTTCCTTGAAGAGGATGATGGAGACGACGAGGACAAACCCGAAGGAGGTGGGATCGGAGACAGCTGTGACAGCAGGGTGATGACCTTCTCATCCCCAAATCGAGCATCCTGTATTAATGGGTTAGCTACTCTGCTCGGCGGCGACCCACAAAAAAATGGGGGCGACGACGCTACTTGTGTACAATTTTGTTCCACTCCACAACCACCCTGTTAAATTCCAAAACCAATAATCATATAATTTTTTTTATAAGAAACGATATACTAATACAAGAAATTTGAAGAACCAAAACTCTATCTATTCTTTTAGAAACTCTTTAGCTGGTACACCCACAGCACTGTTTTTCTCGTACACGAGACCAAATTTTAAATTTTTAAATGGTCCCCTGAATGGCTGCTGCATAATACATTTCTTGGATCGAGACGTCGCCATTGTTTACCAGATCAAAGCTCAGATTTTTTTTTTTTTCATTTTATAAACCATAGAATATTTTATTGGTTTCTTAAAATAAGACCATTAGATATTGCTAATTCTAAATAAGTTCTAATTTCTTAAAAAAAAAAAAATTAGGAGAAAGGAGCATACCTTTGTAAGAATCAAATCCAAAAGATCACTCGCTGCTTTTGAATCACAAAGATCCGCTTGATGGCTGAAAAACATCAAACAAATTGTTACTATTTCTTTGTTTTAATTTAAAAAAAAAAAAGGAAAAAAAAAGGAGAGAGGATAAAAGTTGAAGGGCATAGAAAGAAGGGAAAATTACCTAAGTTGCCATCTGAGGGACCTAACAGGGTGGTCGTTGAACGGGGTGTTTAAGAGACCTAAACGACGTGGTTTTGGGCAGACCATGGTCTCTCTCCGATCCGTAAACATAACCGAAACCGATTTGGAGCTTCGCATCTCCTCACGGCTGCTTCCAATCGCGCTTTGTTGGATCGCACACTGCTTCATCTTTTTCCTTTCACCTTTTTTTTTTAATAATATTAACAATTAATTTCCCTGTTTAACATAAACAGATGCTTAATTAAACATCGTCTTAAATAGAAACCAAAATTTAACTTTAGACTTCTTCTGTTTTCTTTTTAAGATTAAAATTCTACAGTTATTGTAAAGTAGTTCTAGATCGATAGATCTACTGAAACAAAAATTAAATATTAAAATAAATAAATCTCATTGAAATTTGCAGCCAAAAAAATTAAAACTAGTGCGTATTTAATTTCTTCACAGATCTAACCACGCTTAGAAAAGTGAATTGAAAAAAATTAAGCTTCAATTTTCTAAAATTAGGTTTCTATGAAGAAATTGTTCAGATCGAGGAAGAAACAAAGGAAATCATGAAAAGGAGTTGTTTGAAGAGCTGAGAAATTGGAGGAAACCAAAAGGGAGAAAAAAAGAAAACGAGGCGACGAGCTGATGGAGAAGAGAAAGGAGAGACGAATACCTTTGCTTTAACTGTACAGCTCAGTTGAGAAACTGTTGAAGTGGGTGGTCAATATAAACAGAGCACCATATAAAAAAATGAAAAGAAGAAAAAAAGAAAAAAGGAAGCAAATGACGTTGAGAAGTAGGGCGCCAGAACAAAGAAGGATGGTGAAGAAGAGGTCCCATATGATTTATAGACGAGAGATAGAAAGAGACAAACACTTGTAAAAATAAAAATAAAAAAGAAAAGTGGTATCGGTATTGGGCAAGGCACAGCTAATAATAGCAGGAAAGAAAAAAGGAAAAAATAAAGGACCGAAAGAGACAACAACTTTTCTTATCTCTAAACTCTTTGGTCTGGCTCTGCTCTCGCATCGATTTTTTTTTAATTTTGGAACTTTGATATGATAATAGTTAATTATTTTTATAAAATATCACCAAGGCGGTGCCTCCAGCGAGAAATTAAAAAAAAAAAAAAAATGGTTTTAGCACCCGATTTTAGTGTCTAATTTTACTATTTTAGGTATTAAAAAATTAAAATATCTTTAGTAATATCAACGGACCAATTAATGCTAATTTATTTTTACAAAGCTTTTACCAAACTGACTTGCTTTGCGACGTGGGCTTTGTAGATCGAAAAGTAGTTGAGTGTGATTTTGACACGTGTCCCTTCATCTTTAGTTAAAAATTTTAGGTGTTAGGAGCGTGGTCGGCATGAGCATGAGTTTTCACTATCTCATTTTTTCTTTTTAATAATAAATTTTTTTGGTCAAATATATATGGATCATGTATGCAGTGTTGGTATGAATGAAAGTACGAGCACTGAACCAGGTGCAGAGAATTATGCCTAGACCACAAAGTTTGGGTTTGATTATTGCCACTTGGTTTTTTATTTTTTTAAAATCGTTTTAGATCCAATTAATTTTTTCTAAAAACTAATCGCTCATTCTTAAGTATAAAACTTATATTATTAATGTAACAGAAATTAAAATTTTGTTAATTTTACATTGTATAAATAATTTTTTTAAAAATTAATGAGATATATATATGTATATATATTACATTTTAAATTTCTTTTTTGTTTATAAGATACAACTTTTTGTAGAAAAATATTTGAACCTAACTCCTCGAATCGGAAATAAATATAAATATACTACTAGTATTTGACAAAAAATCCAAGTGCACACTTCAAAATTCCCTAAGCAACAACAATTGAACGAAATAGACAAACTAATTTGGTTTATTCCATCTCTTTACTGACTCATGCAGTTTTTGTGAAGAAAAGTTCAATACTTATTTCGAAGTGTCTTATCTTTTTAAAAGTGGTTTTTCTTTTTTTAAAGTAACATTTAGAATATTTTTAAAATTATCATGATAATTTTATTATTGATATGATTTTATTATTAAAATTATTTTATTACTTATGATTTAAAATTATTTTATTTAGTTAATAATCCTTAATTTTTAAAAATTAAAATTTTGTATTTGAGATCATTAAAATTAAATATTATTTTATTTAAAGCATCAAAATAATTTGGTATATTATAATAGTTGTATAGGTTAATAATTTTAATATTATTTTAAAATAATAATTTGTAAATTATTGTTAATATTTTATTTACTTCATAATAAAATATGGTTAAATTATTAAATTAACAAATATATTTATTGCTAAGTACATTAATTTTAAAAATATAAATTATGTAAAAATTGAATTTAAAAGGTTAAATTATGTTAGAAGTCTTATATTTAATGAAAATTTAAAACTTAGTTCATATATTATAATTCATACAAATTTAATTCATGTACTTTCCTAAGTGTTTGTGTCGAGCTCTACATGAGGGTATTCTTGAAAGAACAGAAAGCTGAAAGACAGTAATCAGATGTAAAGGCAAAGAATGTTTACTATGTTTGTACTCCGACGCACAAGTAAAAAATCAAAATGAAAAAGTTTGGAATGAGAGAAAAATAAGGGATTAAAACAAGATGAAACCTGGGATAATAATACTTGGATGCCTATATTTATAGATGAGAGGTTGAGGGTCAATGATGGACAATAATGACGTGACCGAGCTGATATGGCATTGAGTGTGTCAGGCCAACCTGACATATCAAGTCGATGCAAATGTCCAAAATGCCCCTAGCTGTCTACTAGAGACCCTTAATGAAGAAAAAGGCCATTATACCTTTTAAACCACTAAATGCCCCAAACATTCTATCCCTTCACCATGCAATTTAAATATCATATTATTGGTCATGTTATTAGTTCATTTCTCATAAGTCAGCCAGCCTAAAGGAAGTCACAAAAGGTTCGATCTTCTATGGCCAAGGTCGACATGGAGTTCAACACCAAGAGACAATTAGCTTTTTACTACGACTCAAGGTGATGGAGTGAGGGCCAACCTGGTGTGAGTTCGATCTCAAGCATGTGCTTTGGGTTGAGTACATGCTAATTTGAAGTCATTTTGTCTAGGATGATCCAAGATTAGGATGAAAGCTTGTCTGGTTGATGTGGAACTTAGACATTTTTTCAGAAGTTTGGATTTGAGTCTTTATTTTACATTCTGATGATAAACCGACTGCCAATTCACTGAACTAGTTCAGTCCCAGAAGCCATTCGATTTGACCAATTTGATCGAGTCTAGCGATTGAGGTTTCATTAAATGACGAGAGATATAGTTTGGGTAGTAAAATTTAGTGTGAAAAGGGTAAAAAGATGTCTTCCAACGACATTTTGACATATGGCATAATCTAGATTGTTCATCTGATTTAAGGCATGACTATATAAAAGGGCTATTAGGGCTTTTATTTTTCACTTTTTTGTTTTCTTGCTCTCTATCTAATATAGATTTTTCAACCTCATAAGCTTTTATTCTTTTTGATTTTATTGTTTTCTTCTTTTCATTTGCTCTATCTATTTTTGTAGGTATGTTCTCTCTTCATCATGTCTTCTAGTTTTAGTTCTAGATAAGCTGGGAGTTTCAAGGTAGAGTCTAGAGGGGTCAGCTCTGGCAAAACAATGACCTAGTCCTATCAATTATCAGAGGTTAAGACTATCATAAGAGTGCTTATTGGCTCAACACCATGTCCAAAGAGAGGTAGTGGTAAAATGATGAGAATGCTTAAACAAGAAAAAAGTAGGTCCTAAGCACGAAAGAGCTATGTACTTAAATAGATTTTAATTTGGAGAATCCACCTCTTTTCTTTGTCTCTCAAGTTAGTCTATATTCTATGGCCAACATTTTTTCATCTTCGACTGTTCTCTTTTTAGGGTCCAGTCTTATCAAATTTCTTTTTCTTCTGCTCTTTCACCTATAAATGCTTCCGTTGTTTCTTCTATTCCTCTTCGGTCAACTCTTGTTGATATCACCTCTTCTCTTGAGGGGTCTCATCTTCCTTTTTCTTCCCTTGAGGTTGTGGTGCTTTCAACCACTGCTCCATCTTGGAATCCTATCTTACTTAGGAGTCTGAGTCTTTTAACGATGATAAGGGTTCTAAAGAAAAGCAAGAAGAGAAATGTGCCATCGCTGAAGAAGATAATGGTGATGAGGAAGGGAGTTCTTCGAAACAAGATAAGTTGGTTGAGATCCTTGTATATACTTTTTACGACCTCGGTATAACTTCCAAGGATATGATGCAAGAATTGAAAAGCAAGGCAAATCTCAAGGACTGCCCTAATATGTGTTTAGCTCATCATGTCTGTACTTTGGTGATGAACATTCATTTTCCCAAAAAGGAGTATAGCATACTAATTCTGAATTCTTCAAATCAGGTCACCAATAAACTAGAGCCATATTAGCTCTAGGTATATTAGGATTTGTTCATGGTTAGCTGAGGTTCTCACTACATTCTTTATTTATTTCAATTTTTAATTCTTAAATTTAACTATCACTCAGCTTATCTTTATACAGTACATAGTAAGTTTTATAATTCTTTGTCAACACTTAGTTATTTTTCTTAATCTCCCTTTATTTAAGGAATATTTTTTATTAAAAAGTACTTCAATGATAGGAGGTGGTACTATGTCACAGCTTGGCCCAATAAAAAGCTATTCGTTGATTGCCTAAGTTCTATAAAAAACTAGAAGTTGCTATTCTTTTGCCTTTAAAATAAAAACAAAATAAAAGTGATGAGATCAAGGCTGAGGCCAGGGTCGGGGCCTGAGAGATAATAAAATAGCCCTACTAATTTGTAAACATGCCTACTTCTTTCTTTATCCTAAACCTATCAGATTGAGACAAAATAATGAAGTACACCCATAAGAGGATCTCCTCATAGATGCCCACAAGCTAACCTCCTCTGAAGTAATAAATAAGATCAAATACTAGGATAGGTATGAGGTAACCTTGTAAGATCTTTATTTTGTTTATTTTTTTGTATCCAAATCTTAGCTCAATTTTATAGAGATATCTTCCAATAAAGACTTCAACTTCTCTCTTTTTTAACACAAGCCTAGGCTGAAGAAGGACTAGAGTGAAAAAGATTAAGCTTGGAGCCTATTTTCGAGGGGGAATAAAGTTATTAATCTGACAGTATGTAAGCCATCGAGCTCCTTAGTTTAACACTCTCCCACTAGTAAAAAGCACAAGACCATGGCTCATGAAGAGCTCTCATCGATAACCTTCTTTCTTACAAAAAAGTTAAGAATCGAGGTTTCCTCTTCTACCCTAGAGAATATAAAATCTGGGGTATTAAAGCCTAGCTCAAAAAAAGTTTGTACAAAGCTAGAGTACACTTCAAATGATAACCCCTATGAGAACTTTGACATGGCTAGGAGGTTCTGCAAAATCGTAGTTCCTTCCAGTAATAAATGTTGTTTAACTTCAACTCAGCCCATCATCATTTTATTTTTTATTTTGCTAAATTTGAGTTCATCCTATGCAATTTTTCAAAAACTCCCTCATGCACCTGTGACAACACCACTCAAGCCTTTCATCATATATATCTAGCTATGACCCCCTTGTTCAAGACCAAAAAAGATATGACCATCTTAAGTAAGAACATAAAAAAAGCTTAGATGTCTTAGGTAGTGTGAAATCCAATATCAGTGTATCTCATTAAAGAAGATGAGCAAAGGAAAAAGATTGATGAGCTAATGACTAGGCTAGAGAGCATCTACATCGAGAAAGCCTTAAAAAAGTTTATAAAAGAATAGGCTGAGCTAAAACTTGGTGATGCTTAGATTGAGATAGCCAGGCTGAGGTTTGAATTCAAGACCAAAGGGAAAGAGAAAGAGAAAGAAGAGCTGAACAAGAAAGCCGTTAAGGAGTTTAAGGCCTCCGACGAATTCTTTAAGCTCCAAAAGGAGTTTTTCAACAAAAATGTGATCAATGCCTTCTAGCTCGTGAAAGATAAGGTGCAGTTTAAATTTATCAACCTCAACCTT